CACACTTTAAAAATTAGGTTTCATTTTTTCTCAAGTTTCAAATTGAAACTTGACTTGAGGGGCCATGGGACTAATTACGAGTTTCATTTTAATGACTTGAACTATTTATTTTATAAGTTTATATCATTCGTGAAAAAATTAAGTTAATCTTGTAATTATAATTTTTTATTTTATTAAATTTGTTTGAAAAAAATAAACGAGAAATATGTTTTTTAAAATAGACTATTTATTTTTTGTAGAATCAAGTACAATAAAATAAAAAAGTTACAACTTACATATTAACTTAATTTTTTTTTTGTATAAATAATATATACAAATAATCTTATAAAAAAAACGATTGATATTATCGAAATGTGACCTTAAGAAGTCCCATAGCCCCTCAAATTAGCCCAACCTATATTGGGCACTCTTTCATTTCTCTTTGCCACTGCCTCTGATAACTCAAATCTTCATATAAATATCATTATTTTTAAGTGAGTAATGATAGAATTCACACATAAAATATATTTGGTAAAAATGTTGATAAATCTCTTGATGTTGCTAGCATTTTTCTTTTTATCTTGCAGATCTACACCCCCTGCTTTCCTTCACAGGACAGAGATCTATATCACTCTCTCTCAAACTTTATTTATGATGACAAAAAAAATAAAAATATAAATGAATAAAAATATTATAAATCTATCTAAATAAAATACATGAAATTAACAGAAGATCATTTAGCTCACTTTAAATCTTTCTAAATTTATCTTGAACAATAGGAGAGACCACTAGACACAAAATAATGGGCAGATTGCCTTGTGATTTTAGAAATTATAATATCAATAAAATTTATTTAATAAATTAATAAAAAAATAAAATTTCTAATTACTTTTCTATAGAATAATAAAATTATTAGAATTGCTAATTGAAATATATTTATATCTTCATTAAAAATTGTTATTTGACTTAATAAAATGGGTTATTTGTCATGCAATTAGAAATTTGAAAAAACAAGATGTAATTTTCAAAATTATAAGAAGTAATTTATATTTTTTAAAAAAAATAATTTGAAGAGTTGTATTTGTAATTTATCCAAAATAGTAAGAAGTTACTGTACAATTCCTAAATTAAAGCAAACATGTAACTTTTGTCACTTTTTGGGATTCACTCACTTCTTTCTGTGTTCAAATGAACATTAATTAATCCTTAGTATAAAGAACTTACGCCAAATTCAATATGGCCTCCTTCATCCAACCTAAAGCAGGTTCTAACTTCCAATTTTCTCATACAGTACTAGGCCTCGCAGGAAGAGCTTTATTTGGGATGGCATTTATTTTTGTGTTTTTAATCTATGAACTCATAATTAATGAGAAGAATGGGTCATACACGCTTTCTTTGGAAGTTAGTTACAAAATTAATTTATCGACAAAAATTATCTTAAAAAATTAGTTTATTAGATACATTTTAATTTTTTTTCTTTTTTGTAAAAAAAAAAAAAAAAAAAAATTTACCAAACAGCAGTGATTTAAATCCCCTCAAACTTCAACCCCCACCACCCCACACACACGTGGCAGGTGGTGATTGGAGGAAGAGAAAAAAAAGAAAAAATGACCAATAAAAAAAAAAAGGGGGGTCAAAAGGGAGTGAGGGAAATGGGGTACCAATCTTTATTCTTTACCAAAAAAGGTGAGATTTTTTAAACAAAATAAATTTTTTAGTTAATAAACTAAATTTTAAGCCACAGCCAAATGAAGCCATAGTATAGTCATACGTATTTATCTTTATTATTTTTTAATCATAAGAGTATATAGAATTTCACATGATTAGCTTTTGACAACAGATTTTGTTCCAGACATATTCGAGTAAATATTGAAATATAAACTTTGAAAATAGTTTCAACGGAGTTTAAATAGACCTCTTGCTTAACAAGAGAGCCAAGAATCATTTGAAAAGGCCAAAAAAAAAAAAAAAAAAAAAAAAAGGATGAAAAATAGCAGCCTTAGAATAGCTTCAAAAGAGAGTGGAGTGTAGAACTTAAGACCACTTGCTTACTAAGAGAGCCAAGGATCGTTTGAAACAATTATGATAGAGACTTCGCACATGTATGGCCCCCCATAACTTCCATTCTCATCGCAATTATTTATAACGTGAGATTCATACATACATAAGTAGATCCTATACACACATCAAGGATAAAGATCAAATTAAAGGACATAAAACCTCCAAAAAAAAATGAGATTCCAAACATTTCTCCATTTGAAGAGCAGGCTTTTTATTTTTATTTTTTTTTTATCTGTGCTAACCTCAATTCCAATTTTTCTCTTTCTTTGTTACATTGTATGATCCTTATTTAAATATTATTGAGTAATGCAGTTCGTTTAAAACTAATTGTTTGATTAGATTGAGTGATTTGATAAAAATTGTGAAAAACAAAAAATTTTGTCGGCTTTTTAATTTTTTTTTTGGCTAATTTAACTTGGGGTTAAAAAGTTTGATTTGTAGAGAATTTTTGACTTTTTAAAATTTTTTGTGAGAGAAAGAATATAATGATTATGTGTTAGATGTAATGTTGCCTAAAAAATTTATTTTATTTTTTGTGACTATTTTAACCAAAAAAATTCTCAAACTCAACTTCCGGAACATAGGTAAGAAAATGTGAGAAATAAAGGGTAAGAAAGCACCCTTAGGCCAAGTTTGACTATTCTAAATAAATACACACTTTTTATCTTTTTATCTTTTTTTTTATAACATCATCTCTATTTTTTTTGCACATCTTTTCGTAAAAAAACAAAAAATACCCTTATTTAAGTCAACCCAAACAATCCTTAATATGTCACACTTCCATAACTTATCAAAACTTGTAAAATTTAGTGAGAAACTAAGGCCAAGTTTGGGAAGATTAAAAAAGTGCACTTTTTGTCTTTTTAGACTAAAAAATTGAGGTTGAAAATATGGATGTTTGGGTTAACTTTTTGACTTTTTATTGAAAAATGTGTAATAAAAAATTGTAAAAATTGATTTGTAAGGAAAAATTTGAATTGGGAGTTGTGCAGCCGAAATTGTTGACTTTTGGTGAATAGTGTTAACTTTTTAGCTTTTTGAATAACTTTTTGACTTTTTGACTTTTTTGGATCTTCCCAAACTTGGCCTAAACTCAATAATTATATAATTTTTATAATACTAAAATTACCTATTAAAATGTTTTAAAAAAATTAATATCTCACTTACAATCTCTATTTTGCGTCAAGTCTAAAATTTGCCAAATTTTAAAATTAAATCATTCGATAAAAAATAAAAATAAAAAATTGAGATGATTCTAAACTGTTAATTTATTAATAAAATTAAATTATAACTAAATGGATCGCCATTACACTTCACATATTACTAAAATTTGTTGAATTCATTAGGGTGTACATAAAAATTGCCCAAGAGAAGGGAATTAAAAATACAAAATACATATACCACTTTTCATATCAAAAAAAAACCCTTCCCTCTGTCAAAAAAACATACACCGTTAGATGTGTATACATATATAATAAATCACTACATCGCCCTATCTACGGTACCAGATCTCCCCGTACAAACAAACGGCACAAGCGGCGGCGGCGGCTCGTAGCAGAACGGCGCCGCCGGATGCTGCCACTTCTTGAACACCATCGGCTTCTCCGGCTCCGTCCCCTGATTATGATGATGGTGTTGATTATTACAAGATTTCATCTCCACCGTCTGATCATACGGCGGCGGCGATGTGATCAACGGTGATAAGAGAGGGATCGCAGTCTTCCAATCCGACGCCGGGTTGACCTGTATCGACGCCGGCGCACGGCGCTGCAACCGGCTTGGCGGCCTTCGGCTACCGGAGCTCATCGGTGTCTCCGCCATATATTCCAATCAATAGATCGCCGGAAATATATATATATAGAAAGAGAGAGAGTTGTGATTGAATTGTAGAGAGAGAAAGAGAGAATTTAGAGAGAGAAGAGGTGTGAACAGATAGAAGGTTAGGATGTGGTGGTATATATAAGCAATGCGGACTACTCGGTCGGCTTGGCTTTTTTGGAAGCTGCGTTGTTGATAAAGACTCGGTAAAAATTTACAAAAAAGAATGAAATAAAAAAAATGAAAAATGTCTCGTAATTCAAATTTTGCGGCTCAAAAGTGGCTCAAATGGCCAAAACGAATTTTGCGGCTCAAAAGTGGCTCAAATGGCCAAAACGACGTCGTTTTGGCCATTTTTATGTTGTTCTGTACTCAAAACGACGTCATTTTAGCCATTTGAGCCACTTTTGAGCCACAAAATTTGAGTTACGTAGCATTGTCGTAAAAAAATATATATTCAAATCTTCTCCATTTCTTTTGGAAAAATGCTTGGGAGCACTAATTAGTGCTCCCACTAATTAGGTGACAGTGGGTCTCGTTATTAATGATGTGATGTTTTGGTCTTGAAATTGTGTTTTTTTTTTTTTTTACTTTTTTAATACATTAGTACTATTAATGATGATATTTTTAATGGGACGAATCATTGTTGTTTCTTTTGTCTATTAATTAATGGTCCATTTGGATTGAGGGTTTGGTCAAAAAAAGAGTAAAGAAATCTCTAATTATTTGTTTGGGTAATTAAGAGGATTAGAAATGAAGAAAAATTATGAAATAAAACTCAACTTCTATTTCTCACAAAAATAGTAGGGTAAATTATACTAAACTCTTTTGAGATTTTGGAAAAAAAATATAATAAGTCTCACCAGTTTGACATAATTACACTGACTCTATTTTAGTAAAGTTACAGACTATGAAATATGGGTACAAGTATTGGTATTGGTACGATACAAATACGTTGATACGGTAAATTTCAAAAATAATAAGGTACAAGTACTGCTCGGTACGCTTGTAAAAAAATATTTATTTTTAATTTAGAGTAGTATAAAAATTAATTCAATTTAATTTCTTAAGGTCCAACCTACAATTAATATTTAATGTCAAAAATAAAGGTATAAATCAAAATCAAATGTCAATATATTAAATAACTTACAAATCATACCTTAATTTTAAAATCATACTAAGTATAAAACAAAAAATAAAAAATAAATCTAGTGACAGGAGCTTTATCTCTATAGTAGAAGAAAATATTGTTTCAACTGAGTTACGGTACGACTTAGATATATAATAGATATATCTGGATATGCAAAAAAGTTAAGAATAAAAAATTTGGATCCGTGTTTCGTGTACTCAGTACGCATGTAAAAGTACCATACAAGATATCATACGTTGGTAAATATCCGATACAAGTACGACATATTTTTCGAAATACTCATGCTTCATAGGTTACAGATATCAAAATTAGTACAAATTACATATTTCAATGTAAAAGATATGAAAATATCATTTTTTTAATTCATACAATAAACAAATTTTTGATGAAAATAGGGGCCAGATGGTATATAAATTAAAATTTTGAAGGAGTTCAATATAATTGTGTCAAACTTGCGAAAATTATTACATTTTTTTTTTAATTTTCAAGGAATGTCAATGTAATTTATCCAAAATAGTAAGATTTAGTGAGAAACTTAATAACTCAATAACATCTTGAGTTAAATTACATTGAGTTAAAATTATTAAATTTCTCAATAAATCTTACTATTTTGGATAAATTACATTGACATCCCCTGAAAATTAAAAAAAAATGTGATAATTTTCACAAGTTTAACACAATTATATTGAACTCCTTCAAATAAATAAATAAATATTTTAAATTATCACATTAACTATTAGAGATTAGCATTTCTTTGCTAAACTAGATAGTTTCTGCTCATTATGGGATAAAAAGATGTAACTTTTACATTTTAGAGTCAGCATGCATTAGTGTGTGAGTTATTTTCTGATCACACTGCCCGCTTAGTAATCAGCTAGAGAGCACTGGCAGAATAGATGGCTTCAGTTATCCTGCAACAGAAAGAAAAGGCTCCGGCGGTGGCTCCTCCACCCGAGGGCACTCCGACGATCAAGTCAGTATATCTCTCAAAGATAATCAAGTGCTAAACTCACCGTTCAAAGCATAAATTGCGTACCTTAGACCCACGGGAGTGCCTTTCTTTTATAGTTTACTTAATCCTAGTCCCACTAGAAGCCTCACTTCTATGGACTCCAATTCAGTACTTACATTGGACTCCTCAAGAGGTAAAGATAAACTCTCTAACAGCTTTATCCTTATCTTAGCTAAATCTCCTCTTTATTCTAGGACTCTTGTCCCTTATCTTTTATCCCCTTATCTCGGATTCCGATATCTTCGGAGATAACCTCGACGCTGCCGAGATCACCTCGACGTAATGACCAGGACACGTGGCACCTCGGCTGACACATCGGTGTCACCTTGCCACGTGTTGGTACTCAGAAATATATCCCCACAACTGCCCCCTAGGTTCTATTACCTCGGTATTCTGAGGTGATGGAACCTATATCATTCCATTTTTCCAGTACGTCGGTTTTTAGTATTTCAGCCGAGATCATTCATTTCAGGCCGACATGTTCTCTTCGGAGAACAAGAATTCGAGTGAATTCTTTCACGTGTGTGAGCTGTCACGCATCATTTACTCAACTGTTTCATTCATGCGTCTTCATCTCATTGGACCGTGTTGATGACGCGCTTGCAAACCGTCTCTTTCCCACGTGCGCCGTCTGACGCATATGTTCTTCTAGGCGTATTGATTACTTTTTTGCCGCCGTTTTCATTTTTGACAAAACCTTTCCCTCTTTCTTCCTTTTTTCACTTTTGCATCTGATTTCTCTTGCTTTTCCTCTCTTTAAATTCTTTCTTTCGAATCCGCCATTGCTCAAGCTCCAAGCTCTGCAATTGTCTTCCGTTCTTCATTTCTGTGAAGCTTTCGCTACTCCGTTACTCCTGCAACCTTCGTCTGATTTCAGCAATCTTCATACCGGCTTCACTCTTTTCTGGTAAGCTACTGTCCCTTTCGTTTTCAATTTTGTTAATATTCTTCATTACCTGTTGCCTTTACTGCATCTATTGAAACTTTTAATTTGCGATTCATACACCTGAATGTGTTGATTTCGCTTTTTGCTTATGCCCTAAATACATGTACTATTCATAGTTCTTCTTGCACGCCTTGCCACTGTTCTTGGCCTTCAACCCTTTGTATTCTTCATGTTCTTGATAGTCCATCTCTGTTCTTGATTCTGAAACTTCGTATTTGTTTTCTGTTTTTTTGTATCTTTTCCAGATCTGTGCCTTTGATCTTCATATCCATAGTTTTAGGTTTCGGATTTGTTTGTAGAACCCACGATTTAGGGCAAAATCGAAACATTCCTTACAAATTTCTGTACCAACCCAAACCTAGGTTTTTGCTGAGGTCCTATCAGTAAGAAACATCTTCTTTCTGAATTTCAACCCTTCTAATTTAGGCCGATATCATGGGTATGTGGAGACATAGAGTAGATACCCCGACCAAACTTGAGTACTTTAGGCAAGAGTTCTTCATCCCTGCCGATGTCCATCTGAGGCTGGCTGGGGATGATGACTCCATCATGACTACAGAAAATGCCATGCCCACAGAAAATGCCATGCCCTTTTCCCATCGTAGCTTTTACTGAATGCGGACTCCGGCTCCCACTCAACATTCTTTTTCGCGAGATTCTTCATTATTATAAGTTGAACCCCATGCAACTGGCAATCAATTCTTATCGAGTGGTCTTTGGTATTATCGCCTTAGCTAAATAGGAAAACGTTAGGATCCCCCTAACCGATATCCAGTATTTTTATACCATGTGTGCCCTTAACTTGAAAGAAAAAGGCTTCATTTATTACCTTAAGCCGAGGTCTACAGAATTCAAAATCATAGCCGACCTCCCAGACTCCAACAAGGAGGCTGGAGATGACTATCTCATTACCTTGGGAAATTGGGAGTTTGCTCCAGACGAGGACATCCATCTCTACCCTCTTCCCCGATCAGTTTTAGAGGGCAAGGGTAAGAACCCAGTATTCAGCTTTGCCTGTTTTCTTTCAAAGTCTCAAATACTTTATCTGTTTCTGACGTCTGTTCTTTTTGCAGCTGTTCATCAGCCACCAAAAAATTTTCGCCAATCCTTTGCCCCTAGCAAGGACTTGAAGAGACTTCTGGATTTGCCAATCCTCAAAAGGAAAGCGCCTGTGCTTCTTAATTTTATTCCATCATATAAGTCGACTTTGCCCGAGGTTCCCAAAAGGAAGAAGAAGAGCCTTTCTCCACCTTCCGCTACAACTCCATTGACTGTTTCCACATCACGAACAGATCAAGGATCAACATCTGACCCAACAGATCAGCCATCTTCTTCAGCTCCATACTTGGTTCCAATTGCAGAACAAAAACGTCGGCGACGACTTGTCCTTACTGCCGAGATGGGTCGCCCTAAGCCTGTTGCAAAAGATCTTCTAGCCAGTATTCCATCATTTGTCGATAAGCAGTCAACACAAACCCTTCCTCCACCGAAGCCAAAAAGAATAAAAAAGGCTCTACCAAAGGCCAAGGTAGCTCAGGTTGAGTCTGAAGACACTCTCCCTATTTCAAAGTTAACTGAGAGTGATAAATCCCAGCCTTCTGCTAGGAAGAGGCGTTCTGAGTCTCAACCACCAGAATCCCAACAATCCAAAAAGCCGAGGTCTTCTTCTGCAATAACTTCAGGATCAAAAAAGCCCGATGCCCCTTGGGTCCCCACAATTACTTTGGAAGACAAGCCTGTCATGGCGAGCGATAGTGCCGACGATATAAACGCCGGCGTCGCACTTAGTACCGCTCTGCTTCTTCCAGGCGATCTGGAGCGAAATGCCCAGTATAATGAGTATGAGAACTATGCCCTTATGCTTCAACACTCCGTTCAGGTAAATGTTTTCTATTTGGTATCTTTCTTCTTTTCTTCCCTTTATTTTATACTTTGAGTATTCTTTAACACCTCTGTTTTCTTTCAGGCCATCCAGCATGCCCACTCTTTCTCAATGCAGTCTTTTGAGAATCGTGAGA